AAAAGGCTGTGAGGAAACAAGCTGGAGAGACAGACACAGACCCAGCCCTGAGGAGAGCGAGGGGAAGAACACGGTGATCACTCCAACACTTGTCCATGGGCTCCCCGTGCAAAGAGAACTCAGTCAAAGACACCGTCTGTACACAAAGATGCTCTGGGTGAGGATTTTTCTGCCATCTCTGACAACTTAGATGGAGTGAATTAAAAGGGTAAAGCAGATCTGCAGCTCCAGTGAGTCCCAGCCCAGTGTGAGGGGGGTTGGGAAGGGGTGTGGTGGGTGCAAGGTTGTTCCCCAGCAGCCACACGGGCGCTGGAACCAAAGTCCTTCAAGTTAATTTATTTTTTGAATGAGCCAAAATGACAGGAATGCCGAGGTTGAAAGCACTGGAGTGAGTTCAAAAGACATCATTTCCATTGGGAAATAAATCCCTCACCATTTTGTATAATTAGACAAGGAAAATGAAAAACAATTTCAGAAAGAATTCCCAGCAGCAATATCCAAGGAGGAGGCGGGACGTGCGTTGGGCAGGAATGCGGGGCTGGGCTCTGCTGTCACTGCTGGGCACACAAACACCACACAGCATCTCCAGAGCGGCAGGGGTGAAGGAGCTCCTGGACCACTGACCTGTTGTCCCACCAGGAGCGTGGCTGCAGGGTTGGGAACAGGACCACAGCATGGGGAGTTCCAGAGGCATCATCCCACCCATCACCACCAGCCTTGGTGCATGGCCAGAGCTTCTGGAGAGCCACTGCACCCAGCCCATGTGGATGAACCAACAGAGACCCTGAGTGGGAAACCCGCAGGGAAGGGAGTCCTGCCCCATGGTCCCAGGCTGGCAGTGGGTGGAGAGATGCGACCACATTGCTGCTGCTTCACTCTGCTCCTCTCACCAACCCAAACCCACCACCACCACCACAGCATGGCTCCCAGAACGGTGGCAGTGGTCAGCACTCAGTCTCAGGCTGGGGGGACATGGAGGGGCAGGGAGAGGGGAAAGACACCCACGGCTACGGAGGGAGAAGCCCAGAGACCTGACAGGTTCTGAAGATCTGTGTACCCTTCTAAAGGTCTCCTTCCCTCAGTGTACCCAGATTAAACGCTGCCATCCCAAAACTATCGGTTTCTTGTGTAGTGGCAGGAGGGAGAAGTGGCTCTGATTTGGGATTGTGCCGGGTTTCAGGGATAAAGCTGGGAAGCAAGTGCTGTCCCCACCCCAAGCAGCCCAAATGCAGGAACTGGGGGCAGGCTCAGGGGGCACGTCCCTCCCTCAGACCTCCAGTCCCCGGGACAGGGGTGAGGGGCAGCCCCAGCAACGCCGCAGAGCCTGGGAGCGTGGGGGGGTCCTGGCCCAGCCCCACGTCACAAGTGCCATGAGTGGCCGGTCTCAGCTGCCATCTAGTGGGGAGCAGCTGCAGGGCACCGACATCTCTCCAGGCTGGCACAGTCTCAGAATCATTTACGTTGGAAAAGACCTCCAAGATCATCGAGTCCAACCTGTGACGGATCCCCACCTTATCAACCAGACCAGAGCACTGAGTGCCACACCCAGTCAATCCTTTAACACCTCCAGTGGTGGTGACTCCACCACCTCCCTCGGCAGCCCCTTTCAATGCCTGACAGCCCTTCCTAGGAAGAAATTCTTCCTGATGTCCAACCTGGACCTCCCCTGGTACAGCTTAAGGTCATTTCCTCTTGTCCTGTCCCTCGTTCCCTGGGAGCAAAGCCCGACCCCCAGCTGGCTCCCCCCTCCTGTCAGGGAGTTGTAGAGAGGGATAAAGTCTCCCTTGAGCCTCCTCTTCCACTCTAGCTACAGGCTTGGCAAGAAAGCCACAACCTTACCAAAATGCTTACCTTGTTCTTTGCCACAAAACACACTGTCTAATTTGTGCCTCTCCTAATCTTGCAGCCCACCACAACCACAATCAGCCAACACAGCTTTTATTCCTGACTCAGGTTCTAAGGAAGTTTCAGAATTACTCTGGCCTCCACCATCCGCATTTGCAAACTTCATCACCAGAGGAGAAAATCCATAGGAAACTGACCTCAGTATCTTAATAAAACCAAACACCACTGACCCGTCAGGGAGTTAGCAGTTTCTCCTATTTCCAGCTTCTGTAATACCAAAGAAAACCCAAAGTCAACATAGGGGGTTTATCCAAATTAATAACAAGTGGTAAGAGTTAACGGCGCAATGAGAGTTGTCTGGAGGCTGCTCCGGCTGTGAGATACAGCATAAATCTTCTCAAGTTGTGACAAATGTCTTGGCTAATGCAGCCACATTCTATGTTTAGATCTCACTAAGATGTAATTTGACATTTGGGTTTACTTTCTTCATTATAATTAGGAAACGAACTCCAGTCCACGTTAATCTCTTCACAGCCTGAATTTGCACATGGAATTACTGCCCCCACTGTGCCAAGCCTTCCCCACACTCAACAGTAAAGTCAAAGGAAAACCAGACATCCTTTCCAGTAGGGTTCTTTGGTTACAGAAACACAGTCAAAGCATAGGATGGATATTTCTAGGAGTTTAAAGGTTAAATCCTTGTCTCTTGTTCAAGGAAATCTCTGTGGAGAGGTAACACACCACACCCTGGTGTTGTGAGATAAGAACCCAAACAGAACAGCCCACAACTCCATTTTTGATGGATGGAGGAGGATATCTGAGGACAAGGAGGTGCCTCATCTGTCAACACGCACCACCTTCGTCAGTAAAGTGCCTCTTGGATCTGTTTCCATATGGGCTGTGTTCCCATGGCTCCCACTCCACACCTGGAAGGCCAGTTTAAGCCATTAGCATTTAAGTGCCATGAAGTGTTGCATTAATGCGCAGCCACAACCCCTGACACGCTGGATGAGCAGGCTGCCCTCAGCTGATGGGCACGATAGAGAGGAACAGCAACACACAGGCGGCACGAAGACCTGCGTGTCTTTGAAGGAGTTCTCATAACCACATTCTGGAACAGGATAATCCAGGCAGTCCTGTACTGGTTGCTCCACAGCTCCTTTCACATGCACAGCATTTTGCAAGCACCCAAAATCTCTGTCTGCACCTCTACAGAGTGGCTCTGCTCTTGTGTCGCATCCTGGTAACATCCGCAGGTCAACACACAACTGGATGACCATATTCTGGCAGCTCTTGCTGCAGGTGACTGGGTTTCCCATCCCTGCAACAGCAGCTCCCAGTGGAGGTGGGCAGTGGGAAGCAGGTGAGCAGGCTTGGAGGAGGATAAGGCTCCGCTCAGACTGGGAGCAACAATGTACATTTTGCTTCTGAAGAAATGGAAAATATTATCTATTTGGTCTCCAGGTGCAACCAGAATCAAAGCAGGGGTTCATTTAAGAGGGATCAAGACAGCTGGCACCCAGAGCTGGAGAGGGTTTTCTCAGTACAGCTTTCCCAGGGCTCAAGAGTCAAGGTGGAGGAGCTGGCTGGTCATCCCAAGCAAAGGTTTCAACAGGTGATTGAAAAAGGGAGCAGAGGCTGTCACAGATTCATCGAATCATGGAATGGTTTGGATTGGAAGGGGCCTTAAAGTTCATCCAATCCTAACTCCCTGCCATTGGCAGATATCTTACACTAGACAATGCTGCTCCGAGCCATGTCCAACCTGGCCTTGAACACTTCCAGAGATGGGGCAGCCCCAGGTTCTCTGGGCAAGTGAAAATTCAAACAGAAGAGGTTCAGTCAGGGGACAAGGAGGCCGGGGAAGCAGCCAGGCTTGAGCCCATGCAGGCTGTGCCCTCTCCTCCCTTGGATGCTCTCAGGTCCCAACCAGGTAATACCCCGAGCAACCTGCTCTGAGCAGGAGGTTGGACTAGAAACCTCATGAGCTCCCATCCTACCTGAATTACGTGATGGATCTACGATTCCAGTTTGGGACCTGGCTGTAATGCACAATGCAATCCTTTCCCTGAAATGCAGGGCAGCAGCCTCCCACACCTAGCCTCCTGATCTCTGAACCGCTGCACGTTCTAAAAGCAAGTGCTTGACTAAGCCCAGCACGTGCTTTCCAGCACTCTCGGAACAACCCCATGTATCCACACCTCACCTGGCTTCAATGAACATTTTCTGTGGTAAATAAGAACCTTTCCATGGATTTGGGGGGATTTGCTCAAACCAGTATCAGGCAGTGGGCTGTGCTGGGATCTGACATCCCGTTTGCCACATGGACTCCACTCCAACTGCCAGAGCCTGACTCGAGCCTGGAGCAACGACACCCAACTCCAAACCACATGAGCTGTCATGGAACAGCCTGGGCTGCTCTGGCTCTGTGTACGGCTTCTTTCCGTGTCCTGATATGCTTTTGGCCACGCCAAGGAATGAAGGTCACAGGATGGTGTCTTGGCTGCTCGGTGGTGCCGTGTGTGCCATGGGAGAGCCCCCATGCCGAGCCAGGACGGGCCACACCAGCACCTGCACCCTCCGAGGGACCCGCTTGGAACCGGCCAACTTTTTGAGCAGGCAGGAAGGTTTGAAAACGCATTCAAAAACAAAAACTAACAACCTGCAAAACTCCAGAATCCCTTCCAGAGGTGAGGAAGCCTTTGGCAGGGCAAGAGCAAACACGGGGAACAGGGGCCACGCTCCTCCGCTCACACGAAACGTGCAATTCTCTACCAGACTGAGAAACGGCTGCCAAGGAGTCGCAGGACTCAAAAAGCCCTGGAAATCTACAGCATATTTCCTTCCACTGCTCTTTTTGCCATGTTTTCCTTTCAGCACGGCAGAGCAGCGTGTTTGTGCTGGCCAAGCCTACCCTCCTCCTCTCCACCGCACCTTCAAGCAATCCAAGCACAGGAGATACAGTATTACCTCAAATATTTAACCAAGGGATTAAACTATTCTCTTGGCAGGAGGCAGGAGCTGCCCCACAGATACAGCTCTCACACCGGCTGCCAAGTGCTGCGTGACAGTGGGATCCGCAGCAAACAATCTGCCCTGGGCTACCAGAAGCTCTCCACAATTTTCTCTGCTTTTGGGGTAATATTTCTGCTCACCGGTTCCCGGCCATCCATTGCCTCCATCCACAGCCTCCGGTCTTCTTCCGAAAGCGCCTGCATGGTGATGACACCCGGCCTGCAGAGAGAAAGGGGACGCCGTAAATAAACTGCCGGATGGAAAGTAAAATAAAATAAAATAAGCAAAGATAAATTTCCCATGAGAAGAAGAGGGAAAGAGGACAAGCTTCTTTCTAGCCAAGTTCCAGCAAATGGGGCTGAGCCCAGTCTGACCTCTCCATGGACATCCCTGCAGGTCCTGACCAGGATCAGCCAGCAAGCAGAGGACATCTCCAATGACTGACACACCTTTCCAGTGGGTTTAGTGTAAGAGCTGGATGCCAAATTCCTCCTCTGGCCCTCAGCCTTCCCTGGGCTAAGCAGGTCCATCCAGCAACAGAAGAAGGCAAGGAAGGTAACCAAGGAAGGTAACCAAGCAAGCAGGAGCCCCACACATCCCAGCCCTCCATGTCCCACCACCACCCCATGCACCAGCTCATGGAGGGGACCTTCTGCTGTGAGAAGCATTACATCCCCAGAATGTTGGTGCCAGCACAGCTGTCCCAGTGCCCTGACCCTGCCCATACCCTGCTGTCACAGGCAGCAGTGGCAGCGAGGTGATCCTGGTCTGTGCACCCCTCCAGCAGCAGGGGAGCACTGCAGGAGCCCTGGTTGCCCCAGGGTGCTGGTCCTGCCCCTGCCATCACACACACACAACAGCCCTGAGCTGCCCTGTAAATCCAGCCTCCAGAAAATGATGGCTCATTTATTGTAATGAGAAGGGGAAAGGCCTGAGCGCTGCACACACAGTACAGGAGCCAGAGGACAGCACTGGTCCCGCCCTCGCCCGAAGGCCAACGCCACCTCCACGCTCCGGAGTGGACGCTACATCCTTTCCATGCAAGGAGTTAAACCTCAATTACGTGCTCTGATAAGCACGACCAGCAAGGTCAGGATGTATTTAACACGCTGGAGAGTGTTTGCACAACCTCAGTTATGGTGCGTGTTTGCACTGTGCTCCCACGCCGTGGGCTGGCGACTCACTGCACCTCGCTTGGCTGCAACCTGTCAGGATTTCCATCTCCACATCCCAGCTCATCCCATAGCCAGCTGATCCCCACACACAGCCCGGCTACTGCTGTACCTCCTCAGCATCATGTCTTTGAACTGGGTCTCCAGCTCCTAAGGGGTGGCTGCGTCCTGCGCCACTGCTGCTCCCCCAGCAGGGCTGGGCAGAGCCCCCAGGCTCAGCCAGACAGTGAGATCTGTTCTGGGTGTCTGCTCTAGCCCTGCTGCTTCCTCACGGGCTATTTTCAGACGCATTAGCAGAGCACAGCAGCTATTCCTGCTGGAGGAGAGCAGGCAGAATCCCTGGCAACGGGGAGACACAGGCACGGCCCGAGCGTCGCGTGGCTCAGCAGGCTCGGGGGGGCTGCTGGTGCTTCTCTGCTCCTGGGGTTTCATCCACGGGAACTATGACACACCTCTGACACTGCTCTTCCCACTCATGGCAAAACACAAGGCTCCAGAATGGCAGACGAGTCAGGATCACTGCTCTGGGATACCAGGATGCCAGGGCACAAGGTGGGAAGAGTGATTAAACCTTGGAAGCTGCCAACCGCCTGCGGAGAGCAGGAGTGTTCCACAGAGTGTTCCACAGAGCACGTAGGCTCTGTTCAGAACTAAATCCTCAAAAACTGATAAAGCCTGGGAAGAGGGGTGATTTGCAACTTGCACTTCCCAAGGGTGATTCAGGAGGAGAACGTGAGCAGCACCAGCAGTCTGCAGAAGCCTTTTGGTCCTTGATAAGAGCCAGTCCTCTGTTAGAAGAGTAAACAACAACGGGGGCTTTCAAGTGGTGGGTTTGGCCCGTCTTCTATTGCTTTGTGGCACGTACAGGCAAGGAACAGAGGATTAAACCCTCTCCCTGACTCAGCTCCCCATCCAACCCACCTAGCCATTGGCTTTCAGCACGTGCAGCAGCTCAGCATTGTCCCACCAGTGGATGCCGTGTGCTCAGCCTTGCACCAAGCCCGGGTCCAAGAAAACCAGACATAATGTGCTTGATCTCTGTTAATCCCATTGGTGAGTCAGTCAATACTCACCAGCTTAGTGGTTTGGAAGTTTACTCACTTTGAAGGGAAGAGGAAACCACTTAACCATTGCCCCATCTGACAGGGAAAATGCTCCACATCCAACAGCAAATACGTTCAAAACACGGCACAAAGCTCCTTGTTGTGCAGGTACAAAGCAACTGGTACCTGGGGAGCTGAATGGTCGCTTAAGCCAGGGCTTAAGTCTGAGTTTAAGCCAAACTGCTGCTGAAGGCACAGATATCCCAGGTAGAAAGCCCTGGAAGGGCTCTTGCTCAGCTAGGGAGACACAGGAAAATAAAATATTGGGATTTATGTCTCTTTAGCCAAGACATTAAAACAAAGAATTTTAAACCCTCCATTTACACCAGAGCAGAGTACCAGCAGCGTTTGGTCCTGGTGTGGCAGTGCTGGTATCTGACGTGCCAGGTTCCCTCAGAGCAGGGCAGAGGTGATAACACGAAAATGTTTGTTCTGAGTCTGAGCAGATAACAAACAACTCCTCTGGCTTCACTTCAAAGTCAAACTTCTTTACCAGCACGAGGGGAGGGGCCGCAAAATTGAATTAAGCCAAATTTCCCTTGCAAATAGCTCTGCATTTCCTCCCCCAGTGTTTATTTGCCAGGGCACCCATTGCATCACTTTCCTGAGCAGAACCATCTTCCTGGCTGTGATAAATTTAAAATGCACCCACACATTACACCTCATTCATAATTGATGTGGCCCATGCCCACGGAGTACCCTGTGCTTACAGCCAGGTCTGATGGCTGGCGCTGGATCAGCCTCCTGCCTACACTGTCAGCATCAGCCCGCCTTGAAATACTGCCTGCAGTCAGCCTCATCCTCATGGAGTCCTCACCGAGTCTCCTGGAAGATCAACTACTTCCCAAAGTGTGTTTGTTAGATTAGGGATATCTCAGCTATCCAGCGATGGGGTAGATATCCTGCTGTGACTTACTTTTCCAAAAGATAAACAAAATGGATCTGTCCTTGTCCCCTCCCCCAACAAATCACCCTGAATACTGGGGGTCATTTATACAGATAATTATTTACACAGGTAATACACAGCAAATACACATTCTGCTGCGGGGCAGCTCCCATCCTCTCCCAAAACCTTATGTGGTAGGTACCCAGATCCACACGGAGGAGCCTGCCAATCCCAGCCAGCCCACAACAGTGGCACCGGGACAGCAGGATGCCCTCTTGGATCTGTCATCCAAGATGCACAAACAGGAGCTCTTGTGTCAAACAAGATCAAGGACCTGCTCATTCATTCCTGATCTGCATCCTGCATTTCCACCTCCAGGCACCAAACCCCTTTGCCTTCTTCTGGGATGCAAGGTGGAGATTTGGAATCAGAAGGAACCCATTTCTAAATGGAGTGGGTGCAGGAGGGTGAGACCACAGCAGAACATGGCAAACACTTCACAAGAAAGTATATTTTCAATATGCTACAATCTAAAAATGGAAGATTTTTCCATATGAGACCACACAGGAAATTTGAATTTTCTCAATATCTCAGCTTTTGTGACAAACAGCCTGGCCTTAAGGAGCTGTGACTAAGCATGCCGAGAAAATGAGAAAGTCCAATAGCTTTTCCTTCTTCCAGAAAAACAAATAAATAAGGAAAGCAATAGAAACAGATAAGAACTTCCAACTCTTATAGCAGCTTATCACAGTGAGACAATCTAAACTGCTGGATGAAAACGTGTAAGAGTAGATTCATAAGAGGGGCTGAGGGCTGAGCAGAGCCGAACGTGCAGAGGTCTTCACGGTCCCAATCTGAGCAGAGCAAGGACCCCATACAAGTCCCCACAGCCACGGGCCAGGGCACCAGCAGTCAGATGTGGACCCAAAACACAGATGAGGAAAGATGGAAATAAGGGGAAGATTGTGTTCCTGAATTCAGAAAGTCTCAGTGTCCGCGTGGAGCTTAAAGCACCATCAGTACAACAACCACCAGCACGTTCTGTGGGTCCCTGTGGCCGCTGACAAGGAAAGGAGCCTCATCCCTCATCACCAGCCCGCCTGTGACAACCCCCCAATGCTTTGTTTTAAAGGTCACTGGAAAGGCGACACTGGCAGAGGAACAAGCACAAGTTGAACTGCACGTGCTGTCCAGAGCACCGGCGAGAGCTGCGGACACCAGCAGAGGTGGGGTCCCTGCCAGCCGCCCAGTCTCAGCACAGGGAAGTGGGGAGAAGGTCCTGCCACGGTCAGGGTGGCTCTCAGAGACATGCAGACCTGTCAGGTGCTTACCCAGAGCAAGGCCAACAGTCTTCCTAGGGAAAACCATCTGGTCAGGGGAATGCTTGGCAGGTGCCTGGCAGCTCACTCACCCCAAGGCAACCACATAGCCATTGCCATGCCAATTCTTCTCTCAGGAACAGTTTCTCTGTGGAAAGGGTTGCCAAACATTGGAATGGGCTGCCCAGGGAGGTGGTGGAGTCACCACCACTGGAGATGTTCAAGGAACATGGCACTCAGTGCTCTCTGGTCTGGTTGACAAGGTAGGGATTGGTCACAGGCTGGACTCAATGATTTTGGAGGTCTTTTCCAACTTCAGTGATTCTGGGATTCTATTCTACAATCAGACTGCCCACAGAGCACAGTGCCAAGACCCCTCAGGAACAGCCCAGGGGAACGGTGGTACCTGCAGAGCTCATTGCCTTCATGAACGACCAGGAGACCAAATTCCCCATTTTGAAAACCTCCTGCTCCCATAAAAGCCAACTGGCACGTAGAAGCACTTCGCTTCTGGCCTAGAGCAGTGACCTACATTATCCTAAATGACAAAGCTTTTGTCATCAGTCAAATGAGATACTCCTCCTCCTCAGGCTCATTTTGTAAGACACTGGCTGTCATCCCTGTTTGCTTTGTTTACAACCTGATTTAATATGCAGAGACTGCAAATAAGTTTAGTTAATGAAAAAAGAGCATTAACAATAAAACACAGTATCCATCACACTGGGGGTGTATTTCAGTTAGACACTAGAACACCATTCTGGGGCTAATTTTGCTGTAACAAAGCAATAAAAAACTTGCTACAGTGAACAACAGAACTGTTTGCCAACGCCAAGGCCAGGTTGGATGGGGCCTGGAGCAACCTGGTCCAGTGGAAGGTCTCCCTGCCCATGGCAGGGGGGTGGAACAAGTTGGGCTTTAAGGTCCCTTCCAACCCAAACCATTCTGGGATTCTGTAATTCTGTGACAAGGAAGCAATGCTGTAATAACAGATTAGGCTCCAGTTTTTCATCTCAACAATGCTGAATCATCTTTACAGGAGAAAAAAACCACATTTTTCCCCCCCTAACAAGCTTAGCTGTTGCTATTTAGGGTGTTATTTATAAACTCCAGCCCTGCACCCCATGCCTGAGTACCAGCTTCCCAAAATGCAACACTGACAACAAGCTCGTTTCTGTGCGATGACTTTTTCGAGAAGGACCGGCCGAGGCTGCCACCTCCAGGCTGTACAGAGATCCAGGAGCTCCAGCTCCCGGCCCCTGTGCCCGTGTCAGCGTAGCACCGGGATCACACTGTGTCCCACAGCACCCTGCAAGTCAGCACAGACAGTCGGTGAGACACACACAACCTCGGACACAACCTGTCAGGCCAAAATGAAACAAACTGGAACTAAGCCAGTCCATGCACAGAGAGCTTAAAACACGACTGAATAGGCTTTAGGAGAGTCTGGGAAGGAAATGGACTTCATGTTGTCCCCACAGCAACAAGTGACATGAGTAACTGAGTCACACCTGCAAAAGGGGAGAAGTGCTGTAAGTCAAACCCAGTGCATATGGGAGACAGAAAAGCACCTTGGGCATGTTTGCCTTCATTGTATCCAGACTTCCTGCATGGGGCTGAGGAACAAGACATCAACTTTCTAAGTTCTCTAATAGTAGAGACAATAATAAACCACCAAAAAAAGCAGCAAACTATCCCAAAAAAACCCAGCTTGAGGTAAAAAAGCCCACAGATCAGCCTTCTGCGTTTTGTGAACACAGGCACAGCTCCAGCCAGTCCTTGGGCAAAGATACTCCATCATTCGTGGTCCCACACTTGGGTGGAGAGTGTGAGCTGAAGTTTTTGCCTCTGCTCGGGTCCTTATGCTGGAGATGATCTCCTCCAGCATGAAATGGAAAGTGATGCTTCCAGAGAGGAAAACTCCCTGCTGTCTGAGCCTGGCTGCCCTCTGGAGCAGCGGGATGGTTCTCCCAGGTGAGCCCCAGCACCTCCAGCTGCAAACAGACTCCTCCGCACCATGAGCTCCAGGTCCCCCATGTCCCCAGAGCCTCACAGTGAAGCCAGGCCAGGCCTGGCAGGGTGGTTGCAGGGTGGCACCCACACACTGCCAAGCCCCAATAACCCCAGACTGGCAAGGAAACCATTCCTTGACACACAGGGCTCTGTAAAAGAGGCCAAACCCTGAGTGCCAGGCAAGGTGAAGCTGATCTCCAGCAAACCCTGGCACTGACAGCATCACCCAATGCTCTGATGGTGCCCAGATCCATCCCAGGAAGAGGGAGACAGGTTGACCACATCACACTCTCTTTTAGACATGACAAAAACTGTTGTTTCCTCTTCTTCTTAGTTTATCTTGGGAATAATCAATATTTTAGATATCTAATTAAAAATTCTGATAACCAAAGTATGCAGAGCTACCTGTACACTGGGAAGAAACAGCCTTTTCTTTCAGGCATCCTGCTCCCCTGCCCTCTTGGACAGGAGCACATTCCTGCAGCAGGAACTTGTACATGAAAGGAGCAATTCCTTAGGTGCCGCTCCCCTGCCATGATTACATGGAGCAGGCAGATTTCTGGAGAAGCTCCTGATCCCATGCCTGGCAGGCTCCAGACATCAAGGGAAGGCTCATTTGCCTCTGAACATGCTACAGAAGAAAACTATTGTGGTGGTTCTATTCTTCTCCTCCCACTTTTAGTTTGATTTTCACATTATAAAAAAATATCCTCAGGGCAGAGGAAAAAAAAATCCCTGTGTCAGCTGAAATACTGCAGCTTTCTGGAGGAAAGCACAGTTCCAGAGAGTGGGAGGCAGCCCCGGGTTATCTTATCCCTCAGCCAACACAGGCACAGCTCCATCACCCCAACCCCTCCCTGCCATGGGCTGGCACCGAAATGCTGCCGAAGCACAGGCTGGAAAGACATCGTGGGTTTTTCCAGCATTATTCAACACCTCGGATTTCCATGAGCTGGGGTTTTTCCAAGACCTCCTGGGCATTCCTGCAGAGGGGAGGACAGCTGGACCACTGACAGGCAGAAAACTGGGAGGACACAGACACTGAGTGGCTTTGGAGTGGGCTTTTGTGAACTATGTGAACTTCCTGCAGCGAGGGAGATCCAAGGCAGTGACTAATTCCGTTTGGAATACAAACGCCAGCCTGGCTTTCCTGTTTATATACATAACCCATGCACAATGCTAATAGATATGGTAACAGGCTCCCATTCCTAGGTGCTGTAGAATGAATCCACACATATCTCTGGTTCAGCTGCTACATGAGAATTCACAGCAGGAGCATTTTACTCCTTCAGGAAAAAGAAGTGAATCGAAAGTGCCCAGAGGCACGAGCCAGACATCCATTATCTGGTGGACCAGCAACAGCCGTGCTCCAGCACAAAAGCTGACCAACACATACCCAGAGCTGGAAAGAGGCATCAAATCCCTGCCAAAACACTCACAGAGCATCTTTTCCAGACTGACAAGCATTTCCCTTCTGTGGCCGAAGCCTTGCAGAAGTGCTAAAGCAACATAGAAATCAGAGAGACTTGAGTAAACTCGGCACCTTGTAAACTTAAGCACCAACTCAATATACGGAGAGCACCTGGCTGAGAGAGAGGTGTGATTCCATGGATTAATGCTTTCCATTCACAGAGGATATGACTAAAGGAGAAGAGAGACATGGAAACTGCACAGGAAAGCCAAGTGCAGATGAGCACAGCCCTTCCCTACACACGGTCACCGTAACCCCGGGGGTGTCCTCTCGGCACTCACCGATCCACAGCTTCCACATCAAAGCAAAACCTCTTCTCGATCGAGTCTGTTTTCCGCCGCGTGCAGGATTTCAGGGTAACAGCTTCGTCTTCTCCCTGAGAAGAGACAAAATCGCAGGTGAGGCCAAGAACACCTGCCTGTCCCCAGCACCCACCGCTGTCAGTGAACAGGTTCAAACCAGGGGGGATTTGGGAACATCACCCTGTTAGAAATATCTGTTTATACCTCTGACATAAGGAGTAGTCTTTTCACTCTTGTTTGGCCCAAAACCTTTCAGGAGGAGCCTTCCCTTCAGGATGCCCTCGACCAAATCTGTGCATTAAGCATCACACAGCCCATGCTTCAGGCAGGCAGGGAATGCTGAACCACAACTTCTGGGCAAAGTCAGCTTTATTTTCCATTGCTAAATGACACACCATAGACCTGGCTGTCAGTTTTCACTCCAGGCTGCATTTTTGGCAGCATTCTGCACACAAGGACTCTTAACAGGAGCAAACATGCCTTAAAATGTTTATTATATAACAAAGCAACGACAAAATCATTCTCTCATCCAGAGAATGCCTCTCTGTGTCCAAGTTGTACTGGATTTCCACAGGCTGAGCAGCAATCCTGCAGGATCCATGTGCACTGCTGTCCTCTGCTGGAGGAAATCCTGGCTCAGCCCCTGCCAGCACAGACATTTCTCCTGCAATTGTTAAATTCCACTGATGATTCAAGAGAAAATGAATTCTAAAGGAGTTCCTGGAGACGGACACTTTTCTGTGTTCTCTGTGCTGTTCCTGATGACACCTTGGCTGACCACCCTGTTCCCTGACATCCTCATTTTTCTAGGAAATATATTTATAATCACGGAATCGTTTAAGTTGGAAAAGACCACTAAGATCACTGAGTTCAACTGTTCCTCCAGAACAGCCAAGCCCTCCAGTAACCTATGTCCACACATGCCACAACTACACATCTGTTAAATCCCACCAGGGATGATGACTCCCCCTGATTCTTACACAGAAACATCCCACCCCAACATCAGACAATCAAAACACTTTACAACACACAGTCCTACCTCAACATCTCCTCTCCCTTGCTGATCCCTTCTAAAGAGTTTGCAACCATCCAGTTGTGCCAGTCATCCTACCATGTCTCCGTGATGGCAACTATGCCACAGTTTTCCTGCTGGCTTCTAACACCTCCTGTTCCTTGCCCATGTTGCAGGACACACCACGTTTTGGGGGAAGAAGCCCTAACTCCTATGTGACCGTTCTCACGTGCTTCTGTGGTTTCTAACATATGAATAAGCCTCATGTCCTAGACAAGGAACCCAGAACAAACCCAGCTCACAGACCTGAGAGTTCTGTGCAGTGCATCTCCCCAGGGTTCAGCAGAGGCCACCTGCCCCTGGTCCTCCCAGCCTGGCCTGCTGCCAGCACCAGGCTGCTCCCACGTTGCCCAGCTCCCTGTCCAGTATTCAGGGAATGCCCCCGCTTCTATCCCACTAATATCCAGCTCCAGCCACAGCTCAAGGCACAGTCATGAGTGGCTGATACCACGTGCAGTGTCCTGTGTGACCCATGAGCCATGGGTCTCCTCCTGCAGCACCTTGGTACCTGCTCCAGCCAGATCCTGAAATTCCCTGCAGCACAGCCCCCAAGTCCCTGGGCTGCTCCACACTTGGATGCTCATGCCAGTCATCACCAACAGACCCTGTGGCCCATCCAGAGCTGCCCTGGCACAGGCAGTGTTCCATGCCAGGGTGGCACAAGTCACAAGTCCTGGGTGAGCAGCCGCACTGGCGGGGCTGGCACAGCACTGGAGTGGGGCCCTGGTACAGCACTGGAGTGGGGCCCTGGCACAGCACTGGAGTGGGGCCCTGGCACAGCACTGGAGTGGGGCCCTGGCACAGCACTGGAGTGGGGCTCATGCAAGGTGTGAGACAGGCTAAGGGTGCTGCCCGCAGCGCCTGTGCCCCAGGTGCAGGGGGAGCCCTGACATGGGAAGAGTCCAGATGAAACACTGTGCAGCCGCTGACGATTACAGGGCTGGGATATGTTAATGTTGAGCTCTAATGAAGATGCTCCAAGGCAAGAGGAAATTAATTTTAGAGGCTGCCCTCCCCCCAGCAGGAAGCCATGCGGGAGCCTGTCCAGCTCCCGAGGCGCTCCCTGGCAAGGGGATTGTGTTTGCAAACCGTCCCAGCTGGGAATACTCTGGAGGAGTCTATTGTTCCTGCAGCATAGAGGAGCAAAGCCAGTCCTGGATACAGCCCCAGGAGCAGTGGGCACACAGTGTTTGCTGGTCCCCCAGCTCCTCACATTCCCTCAGGGTTGAAGGGAGCTCCAGACTTTCCTGTGGCTCTGTCCAAAACAAAACAACTTCATTGGCCAAGTCATAGGATCATCAAAGAATCACAGAATGGTTTGGGTGGGAAGGGAACTTAAGAGTTCATCTCATTCCAATCCCCTGCCATGGGCAGAGACATGTTCCACTAGACCAGGTTGTTCAGAGCTCTATCCAACCTGGACTTGAATAAGTTACAGACACTGGGGAAGGAGCAAAATAATGAAGAGGTTCTCTTGTCCAGGTCTTAGAGCAGGAATGTGGGACTGAGAAGCAGGCACTCATGGCGCTGTAGTGTGGTGGGTTCACATGGCAAACAAAGATCTCTGAGCTTTGGGGGGGCTTTCTGTCTTTTTTCTTTCTCAAACAAGGTGACAAGTTAATTCCCTATGTGGCACCTGTTCAGTCTGGAATGAATATGCCCCACTTCACTGCATTTGTGTCACCTTGCTATAAAGGTGACAGAGTCTGGCTCCCAGGAGAGCCTGCAGCCAGCAGTGCTGTGCGTTTCCCAGCAGAGCCCCGGGACACCATCCTGCTCCATGCCAGCACTCACCCCTTTTCCTCCTGATTTCTGGTCAAACGGTACCATCGTGATCCGCTTCGATTCCCTCTGGTACGTGCAGTAATGCTTCACCCAGGAAGTCCCAAAGTGACCTACAGAGCAAATGTAGGTTTTATTCCCAGAACCAGTGCCCTCCCATTAACAACCTGCTATGCTTAATGATCATTTAACATAACACATTCCTGTACCTACAGTTTCCAGTTGGATTAAGTGTTATTACCCTCCTTCTATTCAGGGGAAAGACTTTTATGAGGCACTGGCAGTAATTCTCCCTACCAGAGAGAACCCGGCTCCCACATTCCCACCTTAACATCCCACCCATTGGGCCAATCCCTTTCTTTCAAGGATTGTGCACCTGCTGAACCAGCCTTCGTGTCCTACACCCTGACAAACCCCTTCCCCAGACTCCCACCCACCGCATTCCCCATCAGGCAGTTCCGCCACCCCAACACCTACGCTTCTCCTGCACGTAGAGATAACCCTCCATCGTGTAAGGGCTGATGTTTTTGTGCTCGTGAGGATTCTCCTTCATCTTCTTCATCAAAGCTTCAACCTCTGATCTTGTTCCTTCAAAACGGTTTCTTGTCTGCAAATTAAAACAGGAATGTCTTCTCCAGTGCATGGACCCACAGAGGGCTCTGCAGTACGGAAGAACCACAAGGGGTGGGACTTCAGCTGGGTCCTTACAGCCATGTGGGAAATGGGACAGGGGAGCCCACTGACAACAACAGGACAGGTTTGCTTCCTGGGCCTGGATTTAAGCTAAGGGAAAAATATTATCATAACTGGCAAGGGCTTCCAGTACTTTAAGTGGGCTTACAAAAAAGAGGGAGATTGACCTTTTACATGAGGAAATAGTGATAGCACAAGGAGGAATGAATTTAAACTAAAAGAGGAGAGATTTAGATTAGATGTTAAAAAGAAATTCTTCCCTGTGAGGGTGGTGAGGCCTTAGCACAGGTTGCCCAGAGAAGCTGTGGTTGCCCCATCCCTGGAAGTGTTCAAGGCCACGTTGGACAGGGCCTGGAGCAACCTGGTCTAGCGGAACCATGGCAGGGGGTTAGGACTAGACGAGCTTTAAGGTTCCTTCCAACCCAAACCATTCTGTGGTTCTATGACTAAAATACACCAAAAGGTGAGTTATCTTGGCTGGACAGTGACAGCAATGGGTACGTGGCACAGGCACACTCACGTTCTGGATGCTGATTGTCAGCTCTGTCTTGAAATCGCTGAAGTCCTTTGCAAGCTCGTAGCCGTGGTGGTAGAACGTGAAAAGCCCCTGCAGAAATGCCAGCAGCTGTGTCGGGGCAAAACGAATGGAGATGGTCAGTTGAGACCCACAGCTGCCCCCAGAGCCGCTGCTGCTGAGGGGAAGGGGCCCTGAAGCCCCCCGGGCTCACTGGTCGGCCCTGGGGAGATGCCCTGCTCCTCATTTCACCTTCACACCTCCCCAGATGGACCCCAAAGCGAGGCTGTGTTTCCTTCCCCCAGAGCCAAGGCAAGACCCCATCCCAGGACCCCACACACCTCTGTCCCCCTTTCTGCATTACCCAGGCCCTGGAGTCACCAGGAGCAGAGCCAGGAGGGGTCAGGCACAGCATGCTGCGCCTCTTCCAACTCTGAGTTACTTTTGGATCAGCAGGAATCACCTTTGCAAAGAACCGGAAGGTCTGGCCCCTCCCAGAGCAGCTTTAAAGGATTTAACACCTGGGCAAAGGTACATCTTGGAAAACATTTTTTTCCTTATTTCTGTCACTTCTGCACTCTTCTTTCCTTGTGAACGTTAATTATAATTTGGGGTTTTTTTCCCCAATCGAAAGTGTTTTTCTTTTAATTGCTCAGGCCTCTAAGCCTAGTCCACCCCAATAACTGTCCCCACAATAAAAAAATAAATGTTGAAATGCTTCCAGCACACACATGGCCACTAAGCCAATGGCTCTGTGCCCCAAGGCTCCCACAGTGTTTTCCCCCTCAAACCTCCCTCTTTAAGAGGGGTTGTGGGGTGAGGCTGGAGGCCCCCAGCTTCCCCACTGCAGGACAACCCACACCACAGCCCAGCTCCCCATGACTCCCCATTCCACCACACAATCCCCTGGTTTTTGCAGGCTGAGGGGGCTTAAGCGTTCACTTACAGGTTCCACAAACTCAAACATCTTCCTCTCCTGGACCTCTTGCACCTTGAAGACGTATTCTAGAGAGACTTCGTAGAAATGCTGGCGAACCTGGTCCACCTGGCTGTCTGCCTGCAGATGGATTGGAGAGGAAACACGAGCTCAGTACTGAATGGAAACACTTGGCCTTCTGACCAGAGCACACCTGGGTCTGATGGCAACATAGCCATGCAGGACAAATTCAGTTTCAGCCCCCAGTCATGGACTGGACAGATGGCATAGTGATAAATATAAACCTGATTCACATGAAGACGCTTCACATGAATCTTCCTTCAGCCAATAAAAATGTTTTTATGACTCATGTTCTCACCTCCCCGACAGCTGTGCAGAAAACACGCAGGAGAGGCGAGGAAAACGGGAAATCACTGCATACTTGACAAGAAAAGGCAATCCTCCACTCTCTGGAAAGCACCATGACGGGATCTGCCAGAGCATCCCAGGGCAAAGGCAGGTGGCACATACACCCACCACCAGCATGTCACTTTGGTGGATCAGCAGACAGCAAATCCCCTCTGCTTTGAAAGCCCAAATGAGCAAAAATAGGGACATGCCCCAATCCCAATGCCTAAAAATAACCCAGTCACGCACACAGAGTGGAGCCGGAGCCGCTGTACCAAAAGCAGTGTGAGGGACACAAGCATCCCTGGAATGTGTCACAGAATCCCAGAATGGTTCAGGTTGGAAGGGACCTTAAAGATCATCTTGTTCCAAGCCCCTTCTATGGGCAGGGACACCTTCCATCAGACCAGGTTGCTGAGGTGACATTTTGCAAGTGACACTTCGCATAGAGTAACCGAGAGTGTCACTGGGGTTTTGCCCTTACAAAATCCAGCTGGCAAACACCCTCCTGGATGTGAAAAGCAGCTCGTTCCTGCTTCTCTGAGTGACATGCCCATGAAATGTCTCGTTTCCCTCGTTGACCTGCCACCAGCTTTTGTGCTCACAGTGTGCAGGCTGAGGGAATCAGCAACCTGAGTTCTGAAAAGCAGAAAACATGATGCAATCGTGTAAGTCTGCCAGGAGTAAAATGGCAAATTAGACTCTGCATGTTGTTTAACTGGTCAACAGCCAAAGCAGCAGAGAATTCCCATGGTCTCCTCCTCTTCCCGCCTCATCACAGCAGTTGCACATGTGGCTGCTATCACCCTCCAGATGTGGACAGCTAGAGGTTAGGAAACAGAAACCACCAAATCTCCTGCATACAAGCACTCTTGTCTCAGGAAATCAGGGAGTCCAGTGGAGCTCCAGACTCTCAGAAATGAGTGGTGTTAATTCCCAGAAATGCTGCACCCACCAGCACCTTTTCTGTGCACACACCTGCAGCCCCCACCCTGAGAGCCCCACAGCCAGCAGGGATGGTGATGGGCAGCCCCCAGGGAGGTGCCAAATGGGGCCAGTGCTCCACCACGCCATGAATGTCACATCCACATTTCACAGCCCTCATGCTGGACACTCTTTCAAAGGCACTCCCCCTTGGTGGGGTCTGAGCCATCAAAACCATGTACACTTCCCAGTGCCTCGGGGAAGCAGGCCCCAGCACCCCAACTGGGAGCTGGTTCCAGCGGGCTCCAGCCTCCTCCTGCCTTCCCAGAAACAGTCCAAGTCAGTGTCTGGGGTGGGAGATGCCACCAGATGGCACCAGCAGCCAGCCCTGCTCCAATGCACCTGCACAGCATCCCACGCACAGCCACTGCCTACAGCCCGCACACACCCCGCACACAGCCACTGCCTACAGCCCGCACACACCCCGCACACAGCCACTGCCTACAGCCCGCACACACCCCGCACACAGCCACTGCCTACAGCCCGCACACACCCTGCACACAGCCACTGCCTACAGCCCGCACACACCCTGCACACAGCCACTGCCTACAGCCCACACACACCCTGCACACAGCCACTGCCTACAGCCCGCACACACCCTGCACACAGCCACTGCCTACAGCCCGCACACACCCCGCACACAGCCACTGCCTACAGCCTACGCATCCCGCACACAGCCTCCACCTACATCCCGCCTGCATCCCATACCGCATCTCCAGGCAGCCCCAGGCAGCCCCGCAGGGCCATGCTCTGTCCAGGGCACAGGATCACACTTCTAAAAGCAACCGTTGTACAGCCATGACAGCCATGAGTGGATCCTTCCCTTGCTGGACAGAATTCCTTCCACTCCCGTGCCCATCAGTATCTCAAACATGAACTAAACCATCATCCCCTGGGACACAGGGGTGCTTCCATATGGGAAGTTATTTACAAGCCCAGAGGACAAAGCCGGCTTACAGGCGTATCTGCCTGGATTCTGACCCCTCCTCAGCCCTGATTTGGTGGAAGATGATTACCTATGCCAGAGGTATTTCTGCTCCCAAGTTCCCAACTCTGCTGGGCATTGTCCCAACCTGTGTTGTCCTGGCGCAGGAGCCTTGTGCCCACGAGTGCCCCCAGTAAGGGATCAGGAGCACACCAGCACCATGTCCAAAGGCAAGGACACGCATACTGAGGGGACCAACTGCAGCACAGGGAATTTCAAACTTGGAAGAAGTGATTGAAAACTCAGTGTAGTCATCCAGTAAGAGCATTTGGCACCGCAGCAAACCACGTCCTGAGTCAGGGATGGCTCCTAAAGCAGTTTAAGGCACTAAGCCTGATCCCTCCTCCCTTGGAGCCCAAAGCAGCACAGTCACTCGCAGAGAAGGAGATCAGACAACCCTGATTTGTGCTGGCACACGGGAAGCCTGCAGCAGAACCAGTTCCCCTCTGTTACACTCTTTAATTATAAACCCTCTCTCCTTTTTGATTGCTATCCATTTTGGGATCTCTCTGATTTACTCACCAAAACAGCTCCATTCCCTTTCATTAAGGAAGAGGGGAAAAGCCAGCACTCGCAGCCAGAATGATGGAAAAAATGAGTTTACAGTCAGGAGAACCATTGTTATAAGCTGGGTAAGGCATTCAAAAAGCTCTCCACAGTGACAGCCAGACATGGAAACACAGAGGTTGCTCTCACCTCCTGAAGCTGGGATTCTTTCTTCTTAGAAGACAAGTTCAAGTGCTTTTCTAGGACACCACAATACTTCTCAGTCTCCTTGTCATATTTCTTTTTGGCGTCCTACAAAACAGAACAAAATGTGTGACGCTGAACGCAACGGCACCAGATTAGCCACGAGGACCCATCGCATCCCCGCAGCACATGGCAGGACAGCACATCCCAGGTGGGAGTTAACATGAGACAGGACCATGGCCTGGGGGTATCAGCTGGAAGCAGGTGAAGCAGCTTTTATCTGTCAGCATCAGGCAGCTACAAGAAAGCAGCTTATGCTTCCAAAATCCAAGGGGTGGGGGAACCCCTCTTCTACTCCTGGGGCCCAATGCTTGGTAAAACACGCAGACCAGGCCTGGTCCAAAGACAACAGTGAGGAAAGTGCTTTTGAACCAGAATATTACCACAATTTCATATCCCACCCCTGCCAATCCTTGCAAGAGTTTCTCCTTCGTGTCACTCAGGACTATGACACAGTATGGCTGTTTATGGCAGGAGCATTAAAAAAGGATGTCAACTTCACTTTCTTTTGTACCCCCATCCCAACCAGGCAATCCCAACACACCAGTACCAAATCCATACTGGCACCTGCTCATAACCAGCTCCCTTCTGGAGGACTCCTCTTTGTCTTTTGTTTTCAGCTGCATGAGGCAGGGCAGCACTGCTGGGCTGGGCACCCCGCTGCCATGCAAACGCGGCCCCAGGCGCTGGCATGAGCTTCTTGCAGGCAGCAGCAGGTTGTTATAACAACAGGGGAGCCACAGACAGTGGTTTTCATTTCAGAACAAAGGCAGGAAAGAAAGTGGGGGGGTCAGACTGTCTCACAGCCACTCTCAGCCACACTGGCGCTTCCCTGTCCTGCCAGAAGCCGTCTGAGTTCCCGTGCGACACACCGGGGTGGGGAGTGCAGACCAGGGGGTTTGGGTGATTGGGAACCCCTCCAAGAAAATCCTAATTCTTGCTTGGAGTAAGGAAAAAGTTCACTTCAACTGGAATGTGATTTTTGGCCCTTGGCATGTTATTTGGTTGTGGGTGAACTCAGAACACTGAGGCTTTTCCCGGGAGCTGGTTCATCCCCGTGTCCCTCCCACAGCAGTGCATCGCCTCCTCCCATGCCTGTGCCCATCCCTGCAGTGTGCCAGGTCCTGGCCACCTCTGTGGCTATCTCTGTGCAGCTCTGGGCTCTGCTCCTCTGCCTGAGCAGGGGCTCCCAGAGGGGACAAGTGGGTCAGTTACCTTGGCGGCCCCGATCTGCTCCTTGCGGAACTTCTCCAGCGGCGTGATCAGCACCTCACTGGCATTCTCGATCTGTGGGCAAAGACAGACACAGCTCTGTTGACCTGTGCTGCTCAACAGCCTTTCCACAAAAACCCTCCCACAGCCCACAGACGCCCACAGGCCTCACCCCTCCGGCTCTGCACTGGCTGAGGGGCTTGTACCAAACCTGTGAGCCCCCCCAGCACCAGCACTGGCCATTTTCCAACAGCAAGACTCCATTTCTGATGCTTTTCAAGTGTTCCCCTGCCAAGGCCACCCTCCCCTCCCTCTGCTTCCCCTGTGGCTTTGCCATGGGCAAGGGAAGGAGCATTGGGGTGGCAGCCACTGTCACGTCAGTGCCCGGGGTGCCACAGTAGAGCTGTGGGCAGCAGCAGCAGTGTCACAACCCCCTGCTCCCAGGGACAGATGGGGCCGTACCATGCGCATCCGCTCGTCCTCCAGGTTCCGCAGCACCGTGGCAAACTCCTGCAGAGACTTGGCTGGAAGGGACACAGTCAGCATTTAACGTTCAATTTTTAAAGAAAGAGAGAAACCGAACAGGGGGTTTTTCTGTCTGTCTGTGTTTTGGGGGTTGTTGGTTTGGGTTTTTTTTTATCCTCTTTGCTCTCTCCCTAAAAAGGTTCCAGCTGCCTATGGAATCAACTGGCAGCAGAGCAACCCCAGGACCAGGTTCTCACCTCCAGAGAGCAACACCCTCACCTCAAACCTGCCCTAGCCAACAGCTGGTCACTGACCAGCCCAATGGTGCAGCACTGGCCTCAGCTATGTTCAGGGCACGAGGGGCAGCTCACCAGCACAGGGACCTGGAGCCAGTGAGGAGCTATTTCTGCTGAGACTGGGCACAAATAAACAAGTGAAGTTAAATCAGGGCTAAAGCTCCTTTGCTCTCCTGGCTCCAGACGATGTGCACAATAAGCTCTAAAAGTCCAGCTGGGGCAAGAGCAGGATAATGGTGAGGGAAGCAGCTGAAGCTGCTGCCCTGTGCCAGGAGAAGCTCTGGTGGAGCAAGGCCCAGTTCAGGGAGCACTGCCAGGCTCAGCACTGCTGGTTCCCTGTGTTCCTGCAGCCAGCACTGAGACTGCTGCTCCTCTGCTTCAGGTCACAGCCCCTTGCAGTGTACCGAGCCACAACCACATCCAGATCCTGCTCTCCAATGCAAAACATCCAGATAACCAAGACGGTTTCAGATACAGGCAATCTTCTCTGTTTCTTATCTGGCAGTGACAGATTTAGGCCAAAAAGCAACAAGTGATTCCCTGGAAAAGGCTTTGCTGATGTTGAACCAGGAGGAATATGCCATTTTCAGAGAACAGGAAAGCACCGAAACTCCTGGACCCCTTGGTGTCCTCACATGTGTTTCCCCCGCTGTGCCCTACTCAGGGATCTGGAGTGAGGTCCAGGGCACCAGGACTCACCTATGCAGATCTCATCATCCGTTTCAGCGTCGCCGATGCAGCGGAATTTGAACTCATTGAGGGAATCCGCGAACTTGCGCTTGGCGGCCGACAGGTCTGTGGGAGAGGGGGAGCAGGGAAAACAGGGCTGTTAGAAATGGAAAAGTACCTCAACAGCAGGATACAGGCAGATACGTAATCCCAGCTGGTAAACACCCACAGAGGGACCCATTCAACGGGACCCCCAGCACCAGAGAAATCCCTGAGCACTGCCCTTCTGCACCCACCCCAGGACATTTTGGGGTCCCTGTCAGCAGCCCCCAAAATACCCTATAGTGGATAAAACCTCAGAACACCATGAGAACACCATGGGAGCCTAGGCCCAGAGCCGTGGGGGCAATGGCAAATAGTGACACACAGTGACACTGCCCTTCAAGAGATGGCACTTCTGCCAGGCTCCTGGTCCCGCTGAGGGAAGGCCCCACAGACACGCAATAATGCAGAGGTTCATTCTTCCCAAGCTGCAGATTCTCTCTGCGATCTGGATCCTATTAAGTTCTTACTCGCAGTGACCTGAGTGGATCCAGGACTGGCTTTTCGAACCGGCCCCGTAGCCCAGCACACACAGACACGGTCCCGGGCACCGTGAGGCCACTGGCTCCAAAGGGAAGTTGTGGCTGCCAGCACTGCTGGCATTAGGAAGACACAACGCTCAGTCCCCTGTGCATTTCTTCACTCAAAGCCCAAAATTCAAAATTCAGTGGTTTTTTCCCCCTTTCCAAGCACCGGTGGAAAACATGCCTGCACACAAAGGCCGTTTCCTCTTCTCAGACACCAACAGCCGAGAGATAACCACAACAGAATCCAAGTGTTTTGCTTTTCCCATGGGATAAGGGAGTTGGCAGCTTTCTCCAAGTATTAAAGCTGTTCTCCCAGTATTCCTGCTGACAGCCCTGGGGCTAATCCTGCCCAGTTCAGTCCTGGCTGCCTTTGCACCACTGCTTCCTAAGGCAGCAGAAAACCACCAAGCCACGGCAGGCAGGGAGAGGGAAGGCACCGGGAGCTTTCCCAGTGGAAAAGTACAGAGGGGGGCTTCTCCAAGAAGAAGGTTCACACATAACAGGATTTGCACTTTGCTCCCTGGAGGATGGAATGAGCACGGCTTACACCCTGCCAGTGCCTGGAGCTGCCAGGAATCTCCATCGGCACCTACAGATGCAAGCCATGTGTTTTTCGGGGGCAGCTTCCCCAAGCGCTCCTGCCAGGGTTGAAAAGAGAGACTCGGGGGGTTAGAGGGTTTGCTCCAGCTCTGGGGCTCAGTGAAGGGCACTGGGACAGCCCTGGGCAGCTCTTTCCACTCCCCACCACAGGTTCATGCTGGTGCTGGGGGGCTTGGGGACTTTCACCGGTCCCAGAGCCAAGTGGCCTCCTGCCTCCTCTGGAACAATAATGAAGATGACGTTAATGACTCAAGGAGCCACTTCCTCCCCCGCAGCCCCGTGCTGACCAGCAGCCACCAGCCACACTCTCTCCACATATACTGTGGCCTCCCTGAGCCCTTGGCCATGTTACGTGTGACACATCCCCACGTGAACCCGACCACATGACACCCCTTGTGCCCACTGCCAGCTGGGCAGGACCCCAGAGCCGAAGGCTGCTCCAGCACAGGGATGAACACCCAGACAGAGTGAAGCTCCCACAGCCCAGGGCAGGGTAACCATCCCTCCTGCTCAGAGTGAGGACAAGGTTGGGGCTCTGGGACCAGGCATTAGCCAGAGCGAAGCCGAGAAGCCCTTGGAGCCAGCAGCACTGACAGCAATGGCCCAGGGTGCTTATAAATAGGCAAGGGAGAGGCAGGGGGAGATGGAGATAAGTCCTGGTGCAACAGCGATAAAGGATAAAATTAGCAGCAGGATCAGCCAGAAATGGAGAGAGGGGCACCCGTGCCCGCCCTGTGGGGCCCTGTCATCCTCCCTGGGACACCGTCAGACCCACCCACACCCCAGCATCCCCATTTCCTAAAAGCTGGAACCTCTCAACTACATTTTGGAGAAAAAACCCTCCAGTGGAAGCTGGAAGGCATGGTGAGAGCAAGGCAGCCCCCTGACAGGCCAGCTCAGCTCCTGCGGGTTCTTCTTCCCCAGGGCTGTGAACAAGCAAACCCAAAATCCTACAAAGGCTTGACAGAAACTTCTGCTTCCTCTCATGCATGGGTAAAACCACCCGGACACTGCACATGAGTCACAGCCGGGCTGTGCCAAGGGCTCTGGAAGTTTTCCTTCCAAGTTCTCCACTGGCTTGACCAGTCAAGTGCAACATAAGGGAAAACCACCACAAAAAGCCTGAAAAATCATTCTGCCTGAGCAACACAACCAGATCAGGTCACAGTTCTTCTCCTCATCTTCATCACCTTCTATGGCTCCCCCTTCCCATCAGGGCTGGTGGGGATGGGAAGATCCCTTCGGGAAAGTCCACTTGACAGGAAACAGGCACACACACTACAAGTCGGAGGTCCAGCTGCACAGCTACGGCAACCAAGAACCTAAATAAAATGTCCTTTTAAATGTGATGCATCCTCCCTATCCACTGCATCCTCGACAGTCACAGCATCCCATCCTCGACATCCACCACAGGAAGAGCAGGAAGGAGGACGGCTCCCAGCAGGACAGAGGGCAGTAGCCTCATTTAACCCCTTTGCCTGTCCCTCCTCTCTCACACCCAGTTCAGGGGTCACCCCACATTCCTCCTCCCTCTGCAGCCAGGGAGCCAGATTAATTGCTGGCTGAATTCCTGTTCCAGCCATACACTCCCAGGTTCCCTCCAAACCCGGCTGAAGCCAATGCTACTCCAGGCCCCAGCAGCCCTGCAAGGGATCAGCAGCAAGGGAGCACCTCGTGCTCCCTCAGACCCTCCTCCTCAGCTACTGAGAGTCAAATCTTTCTTGGAAGTGGTTGCTGTGGAAGAGGATGTCAGGCAAGGAGCTTGACATGGTTGGTATTTACATAAAAAGCCCCTTCCAAAGGAATTTGGAACTACTGGAAAAGGCTGTTTCTAGAAGGAAGATGTGATTTCACAACACTCCTTCATGTGTACAGCACCCCGGGCACCATAGGGATGACCCCATCCCAGTCAGGTTCACATCCAGCACCCTGGGAACAACAGGGATGACCCCATTCCAGCCAGGTCTACAGATGGTGCTGCAGTGGGGCAGCCCCAGGGACACACTGCTGTGAGATGGGTCAGCTCTGCTCCCCAGGGCACAAGTGCTGGATCTAACATGTCCCTGTTTCCACAAGATGACCCAGCACATGGAGCCTCTACCACTTTGAAGGAGTAATTTACACCACAGTCTTGCCACAAGCCACTCTCTCCTGGTCACTGGCTTCCAGCTCCTTCCCCAGCTTTATTCCTCAGCTGGACACCTCACCTCTGTGCAACACCCCATCACACCTCTCTTTGAGTGTTTAAAACTTTTTCAGGTCTTTCCAAAGGGAACAGAGGTAAAGTGTGCTGAGAGCCTGGACAGACAAAGAGCAGGAGCAGTTCCCTTAAACCAAAATTCATAAGGAGCAGAGAAGAGATTGGAACTCCTCCACCTGCATGCTCCAGATGGACAGCTGGGAAACGTGACCCAGGACACAGAGGGGAACTGCAACACAGCAAAATGAGATGTTGAGAAGACAAATGCCTGGTCCTGCTGCCTAGTCCCGTGTTGGAAAGATCAGGTTGGCCAGAGAAAAGTGAAACTGCTGGCTCAGAGGCCAGGGCTCTCCCCACAGCTGACTCTGCAGCCAGTTTGCTATGTAAGCTAGAAAAAGCAAAAGGCTCAGCTGCGCCCAGGACAGGGGCAGGAGCAGCACGATGCCATGGGTGGTTCAGGTTAAAGATAAACTTACTGCTGGGTCTGACCATGAAGGGTTAATGCTGCTGCAAAGGGGGAGCAGAGGATGCTGCTGCAAGGCAAGCTCCAGGCTCTGGGCTCTGACAGAGGCTGTGCTCACACAGAGCAGGATTTCTACACTTCCTGCAAAGAAAATTGCTTAATAGCCTATATTTAATGTTCAAGTGGACAACAGGAACCAGGACTCCTGCCCCTTCCTTCCCCCGTGGCAGGGAACGGCAGGAACAGCAGGCTCAGGCTGCATGTCCCCTGCAAGCCCCCACGGAGGGACAGGAGGGTCCCCAGTCCCCTGCTCCTGCCAGCAGTGACACTGCTTGTCCCCATCAGCAGCCCCATGGGCCCAAGTGGGTCTGCCCTGGGAAACAGTCCAAATGCAGGAGCCCTGAGAGAGCAGATCTGGGGGTCACCACCGGAGACCCCCCATTTGGATGCAGAGAAAACAGGACACAACAGTTGGCCACTCTCGTGGCACCTCTGCAGCCCCACAGCTCCCCAGCCATGCAGCCAGCACAGAGCAACCTCATGGTAGGCAGGAGCCAGCCGGGATGGGTAATCCAGGGAACAGCTGCTCTAATCAGCAGCCAAAAGAGCCGGATTACAGCCCGCCAAGGGTGCTTAGAAAGCAGCAATATGGTGTCTATCCCCACAGCGAGCACCCGGCGAGCCGGGGCTGCCGGCACAACGCCAGAGTGAGCCACTGTGGGGTCACACAACACCTCCTAGTGCCCAGAGATACACAGGGATGGGGGGTTGGGAAAGGTCGAAGCTGGGAATGGCCAACTGGACCTGACCGATGGATGCATGGGACACTGTCCAAACCTGGCCCTGTAGTTTACACAGGAATCCAGCAACAAGCAATTCGTGCCTAAAAATCAGCATTTGCAGCTGCCAGCATCAAATTTTACCCTCCAGTCCCAGTCCGTGCTCTGCAGGGGTTGGCACCAAACATCAGGGCAGCATCGTTAAACGCTTCATTTGCTCCAGAAGGTTTAAATCCCCTCTCTGCACTTCCCAGCGAGGTCAGCAAAGCCCTGGTCCCACGAGACACTGCGGTCCTCTGGACCCAGCCCAATCCCCAAGTCTCTTCCATAGAGAATTAGCACTGATTTGTTTATTAAACAACTCCACTAGGCGGTTGGAGTTAATCAGTGATTTAGGATGGGACGGCAGCTGCTGGCAGGTTCCCCCTCTGAATCATCGTTGAGTAAATATATAA